ACAAGTCAAGTTCAAAATGCTGGAGGTGCAGAAAGCAAGATCAGGAATGGGAAAGCAGAAAGAATATGGGGACAACTTTCAGATCACAAAACCCCTTTACTAATCACGTTGTTTTGCAACTTTAAAAAAAAAAACAAAACAAAAAAAACCCAAACAAAATCTGAACTACAAACTTCTACTGCAGGTGGCATGAACACTGAATCCTGCCAGCACACCCAAGTGTGGCTGATGCTCTGATGTTCACAGGTACAATATTAAAATCATATGAGAATCCTGGCAAGGTCTGCTGTTTGTCGTAAAAGCTGGCGAGTCCAACTTGTATTTCTCTCATCACAACAAAACTCACACAGGAAGAGCCCTACCTGTCCAGTCGGCGGCACTGGAAGTGAATGGATGAGAGTAGCAGAAGCACCCCGGTGTTATCAGGCTCCTGCCTCCAGAGCTGCATGCAGTGCCTCTCTGCTGCTTCAAAGTCTCCTGCCTGATACTCACGATGAGCCAACTCCGCTAACCCTTGGAAGGAAAGCATACGTTTCGTTGGTTCTGGAGAGTCACCAAAACATTCAGAGGGGGAAAACAAAAAGTTAGATGATGGGAACAAAACAAAATTAAAGAAACAAAACAAAACAATGAAAAAATGTACACAAATGAAGGATGAAAATGTTTGAAATTATATAAAATACATGGCAGGTGACGGTTGGAGCTCTCAAGTCTTCATGCACCAATCTTTTACCAGGGAATTTCTAAAATTATCTGTACAGGTGCATGGCTCTGTCAGCTAATAACAGGGAAAATGCAGACTGTAACGTCTGTGAATAAATATCTGTAAGTCAACCTTTTCCTTTTATTCTGAAATACATTTAAAGAGACTCCTGTCATGATATTTTGGTTCTTTGGTACTCTGGTTCCTTACAGTGGAAGTGCTGCCAACAGAACAATGATTCTCACTCCCCCCCCCAGACTGCAAATCCTATGCTTTGCAACGTTAAAAATAAGTTCTAACAACTTAATAAGGAAATGAAGGACAGGAAACAAAGACTTCAAAGACTTAACAAAACAGAGTTGTGATGTGAGTAGTGAAAGCCCTAAAAAAAAAAGGGGGGGGAAATGGCTACCATTCCTTGAATCCTCCATACTCCTACACTTTCTCTAAGGAGTCAAATCCCTTCAAAGGAAAAAAAAAATGGCCTTGGAACAATATCTGATGAGAGACAAACACACACTTCAATGATTATGCAACTGGCCTACAGGAGGAACCATTAAACAGGCAGGGTACAGGAAAGGAGTTACTGCTCCTGGAGGCTTAGCTGGAACAGGAGTGACAAAAATGCTTTTAGTATTTAATACCCAACTGTGGAGAACAAAATGCTTAAATAAAACACCACCTGTTTTACACAAAACAACCTTATGTGTGAAAAGTAGTTATTTCTTACAGAGTAAGATTCTTCATTAAAATACAGACAAATGCAGCTTGGAAAAAAAAAACATAACCATTCATCCTAGAAAGAACTGTTGGCCTTCCAATTCAACTATTTACACCAATAGCTGTCACTATTTAAAGGTTTGATTACTGCAAGTATCTCTCATTTTTCCTCCCTAAGCCCGGCATTTTCAGTACTTTGCTGTCACTGAATTCCATTCATGAAACACTTCCCACCTGGACCTACTGAGTTTTAAAATTCTGATTTTAAACGAGACATATAAATCCTTCCATTGTCTCTGTCAGTGGTAAATTGGAACTAGCAAAGCCACTCACTTAAGACACTTGACAAATTAATGACCAAGTATCTTCATCCAGATTAAATTCCTGTTTCCTAGGGGCCTGTCTTAACAGTTTCCAAACCCTGAATAGGGGCAAAGTGGACTCCAGTTAAACCTGATGGCAAAGATAAAGAGATACAGCTTTTATTCACCATGAGAATGTTGAATCATGGTTGCAAACCACACCATTTCTAAATGGTGCTGACAATAATAACGATACTGGAGCACCAACAGACTGCTCCTCATCCTGTCCTGCTGCTGTTATCAGGTTCAGCCCCTCTGGCACTGAGTGTATTTTCAAGTTCTGCTGATGGCACAAACACAGGGAAACCAGATAAGAGGAAGAGCATCTCTCATGAACGTAATCATTTCCTCTAAAAATAAATTTCTATTGTGTTATTAAATTTCAAAGCTAAAAACAAACAAACAAACAAAACCAACCACCACCAAAAGTTTACACTTCGACACTCGTGATCACTTGGAAACAAGTTTCCAACCATTATCTAAATGCTACATTTTTCCTACTTTAGGCAAATGAAAGTCAAACTAAAGTTGTAGCTCCCAGGGCAGGAAAGCAGGTGGTGCAGAAATATTGTAGTTAACACCTTGGAATGAGAGCTGCTAACAAAAGCAACAAAGCAGGAGAAACACTAACATGTTCTTTCATTCATCAACTGCCTCTATTTACAAAATACCCACAGCTCGCTCCCACAGACAGAGCAAACTCAGTGTAAAATTGCCGGTAATCTACCCCCAAGGGAGTGCGTTAAGAACAATCCTCAAGTTCACCGAAAAGCAGGAAGATAACATGCACATCACAAAGTTCACAATGAGCCCAACTTTTAACAGAGGCTGGGAGCAAAGCTATGCAATGCAAAGTACCCTTAACACAGCCCATCAGTGGATGCTCTGTGAATCAATTCGTAAAGAAAAGAACTGCACCGAAGCAGTCACGGCCAGGAAAACCCCTGATGGGAGTCCTGCATAAATGAATTTCTGTACCTGGGCTAACTCGTGCTGCATGATTCCACTGTGACCTTGGAAAAGTCTAGCACATGCTGCCACAATGACCTTCCCTGAGGCTTCCAGAGAACACAAGCACAACAAAAACCTGCACACAACCACCACAAACACACCTAAGGCCATTTTCCCCCCCCCGAGAAACACGGTCCTAAACACTTGCTGTACCCTCGCGCTCAGGCTTAGGTTCAGATCCAATCCAGGTCCCCAAGGAGCAGTGGTCTCCTCCCCGCGGGAGGTGGAGAGGATGAGCACAGGGCTCTCCCCACGTGTCGCTCACACCTGCACAGATCCAGGCTACCTAAGGATGCTGCAGCCTCGCTGACCAGACACAGTCCTGGCTAAAGAACAGTGAAACACCGTATTGAAGCACCTTCTCATCCCTATCTCTGCACTGGATCCCGTCTCTTTCTCCAGAAATCCTCCTTTCCCCAAACATCGTTTCAGCTTTCCCTACTCCTCCTCCTGTCTGGTTACAGAAAGCCCCAAAATCTGGGGGATGAAGCTGTGTTGTCCTTTCACCAAGCATAACACTTCTTTTTCTTGGTGTACAGACAAAGTCAGATTCCTCCTCTTCTCCGTCCCTCTAGTTCTACATCTGTAAACTAAATTTAGGGCAGGATCCTTCATGGCTCCAACACGGTATCTCATGGTTCAGAAATCACAGAATCACAGAACGTGACTGGCTTGGAAGTGACCTTAAAACATCACCTCGCTCCAATTCCACTGCCGTGGGCAAGGATCAGTGGACCTTCCACTAGATCAGGATGCTGAGAAAACTCCTGCTTGAGCGCAGCGAGCGATTCTGAAGGATCCTGCACACATTTTGGGTCAGGCTTTCTACCCTGCTTCGCCCTCTAACGCAGTCACCTGATGGTGTGATATAAATACAGCACCTCCCCGGCAGCGGCTCCCGGGCTGCCCACGGGCAGCGCCCACCGCGGGCCACGCTCGGGCCCCTCCGCCCGGGCACCCGCACAGAGGTGGCAGCGGAGCAGCCACGGCCTCGCCGCTTCTGGAAAGTTCCGCCGGGCGAGCGGGGAGCGGCCCCGGGAGCGAGGGCACGGCCCGGCCATGGCTGCCCGTCCGCGGGGGAGGGGGGTGGGAGCGAGGCATCCCACGGTACCTGTGCTGTCCGCCACGTTCCCCACGGAGGTCGCCATCGGGACGGGGGCCGGCGGGGCTGTGGCGGCGGCAGAAGGAGAGCTCGGGCGGGCCGAGCAGCCCGCGGTCGCGGCGCGCTGAGGCGGCGGACCCGAAATGGCGGCGGCGGCGGTGCCGAATGGCCGCGGCCGGGACTATCCCCGCGCCAAATAGTCCGGGCGGCGCCGGGGCAGCGCGGCAGGGCGGCGCGGCGGAGGGATCGATGGAACTGTGTGCAGCCAACGCGGCTATCCCTCCGCGCGGAGCGCTGCGCCAAAGGCGGCGGGAGTGCGCGTGCGCCGCCGCCACCCCCTCAGGCAGCGGCACCGCCACACGTGGGCCCGGACACCGGGACCGGAGCCCTGAGGGGACACCGGGACCGGAGCCCTGAGGGGACCGGGGCTTGTGGGGACACCGGGACCGGAGCCCTGAGGGGACCGGAGCCCTGAGGGGACCGGGGCCCTGAGGGGACCGGAGCCCTGAGGGGACCGGGGCTTCAGGGGACCGGGACTTGCGGGGACACCGGGACGGGAGCGCTGAGGGGACCGGGGCTTGCGGGGACACCGGAGACCACCGAGGCATCAGAGCCCCCCAAGACATCACAGCTTACGGGGGAGATCGGAGCCCATGGGGACACCAGGGGTTATGGGGGCATCAGAGGTTTTAAAAAGCACACCGGAGGTTACGGGGACACCGGAGCCCACCGGGGCCATCAGAGCTAAGGGGACACCTGCACTCCCTCACCGGGGCGCAGAGGGACGGCAGCAGAAGCGTCTGTGCCTCGGTTCAGGGTGTATTTCCATGGGCTCTGCCAGCGACACCACCGGGACTCCGCACACAGCCCCGGGGCCTGCACGTGCGTGCCCGGCTGGCTGAAAATGAGGGGTCTCCGGTGAATTTGGCCTCAAAACTGCCAAATTCTCATTTCTGGAACTAATTGCCACTTAAAAGTAGGGCAGCTGTTTTGGAAGTGTCGAAAGTAGGCAGGCAGTTATCAAAACCACTCAGGGGTGAGACATAAGACATTGGATTTGTTCTCCCAAAGAGAAACCTCCCCTTTATGAAGTGAAAATCGCTTTATACTTGTTTATCAACAGCAGGTGTTTTATTCTGAGCAGGCTTTTCTTTTTCCTGACAGACATGAATGTGTCTGACTGGCCAGTATTTCTGAGGAATTGTTTTACATCTATAAAGACTGAACTGGATCTGGATGCTGGAGCTGGTCCAGGCTACAACAAGCCAAGGCTTCAGCAGAGCACGTTTGGCTAAAGCTTATTTTTCACCGTTCACTCCACCCCAAAACATGTTTTATAACCAATTAAAACATTATATGAAAAAAAATTAATCTGCTCGTTAACACAGTCCGCGTTCCACTGTTCCTTACACCAAACTGGGACGAGAGACATTCAGGAGCCAGGAGTGGCCCAGGACAATCACCATCTCAGGAGAGGGAGTTCATTCATCTGAGTCCAGGTCGCTGTCTCCCGCGATGGAATGGAAGTCCTCGCTGTCTTCCTCATCCTCAGACAGATGGACCTGACTTAACACGCTTGGCCCCGAGCGCTGCTGTTCCTCCTCCTCCTCCTCTTCGGAGATCTCGTACCCTCCGATGCTGCTGAAGCTCGTGTCTCTCGTATTGGATTTGGGGTCTGGTTCTTCGTAGCTGCCGTAACTAGAAGAGAGAAGAGAGCGATTTCAAACGAGCTGCTGGTACCAACAATTCTGTATTTAACTCCTGAGAAAGTCCCTTGGCTTGCAGTGCTGTGAGCACTCAGAACCGCTGTGCGCTTCAGTTCTTTCTAAAATAAAAAAACCCACACCAGTTCTCCGAGGAAATTCAAGTATCCCCACCCCACTCTGATACACTCAGGGCAGGAAAACCAGATCACTCCAACACCTTCTGTGTGTCACCTTCACTGCAGACAGAAAGGCAGACAGCCCGTTCTCATCATCCTCTGCAGCATTTCCAGCTGACTACTGTCAAGGTCCTGCTGGACTAACCATTGCCTGCCAGCACAATTACCTGTACAGTTATTAATTAGGCAAATAGCAATAACAGCATTAAGGGACTGAATTCCCCAAGTAGAAAGAGAACAGAGAATCAAATAACTGACACTGCAGAATGCCCAGAGAAAGAAGAGTAGGTTGGTATCCTCTCAAATGCAAAAAATTAAAGATGATATTGCTGTAATTGTCCAATAATGGAACTCCTTCTAAAATACAGAATATGCATATTCCTATTTTTCTGGACTTCAACGAAGCAGCTGTGTTTCAAGTCAGGAGATTTTCAGAGAAGGGGAAAAAAAAAGTCAATCAGCTAAATCATCTTTTAACTTCAAATCCATCTTGTAGTTTCAGATAACTTGTAAAAACCTTTATTTGCCCTGCTTTCAAAAACCACTGTGTACAGGATATCATCTAACTTACAAGATGGAACTTACTTTTTTTTTCCTTTTTTTTAATTTAACTAACAATTTTATTAGTGAAAATCTAGCAGCAGAACCAAGGCAGTAAGTAACAAATTGCAATTACGGTAATTACGGGTGCAACAGTAAAAACAGTCACAAAAGAAAGAAAAGATGTGCAATGTTCTTCAGCTGTTCATGACGAACACTTCAAAAAACTTGAAGGGAAGGGGTTTTAAGAATTGTTTTTAAAAGGTTCTCAGCTCTAATTACCTGATGTTGCTGTCCTCCATAACGTGAGATGTCTCCCCACCATCTCCTTCGTAAGACATCATGCTTTCCTCGTTGTCCATGCCCATCCTCGTGTTCTCTTGGAGAACATGAGGCTGTTTAGGTCTCACCGCATTGGGCTCCACGTCTGAGTCGCTGCCACTCTCACTCAGCTGGATGGCTGTGCAATAAACCAGCGTTTGGTCACAAATAAGAGGTTTGTTCCACACCCACTGTCTTTGTTTAAAGGCTGCAGTGCTGACTGTGGGGAATGTTTACAACGCAGTGTCTCCACCAGGGACAGGGAAGGGTATCTGGGAGGTGATACCACTTACTGAGTGCCCAATTCTGATGTTATTCCAAAGCAATCCCATTACCACCATTACTCAAATAGTCTTTTGTCTTATCTACTCAGAATAATTCCCCTTTATTCCCCCCTAATAATTGTCAGAAGTCATTGCTAAATGCCATTATAAGCTTTTCTGTGTGACAAGTCTGCAGTAAAACAAACGATCTGAAGGAACCTCTGTACCCCTCTTCCAGTTCTTGATAACACTGTTTTAACAGTAACATTTAACAACCCTGCTTCATATCAAAATAAATGTTGGGCTTTATTACTAAACTGCCCATTCCTGGCTCTGCACACCAAATCTTACTCCCAGGCTTTTCAGAACCACTTGCAGTTTCACTTCATGAAATACAATCAACAAGATTTTGTCTTAACTCTGCTTTCTTTCGTGTCCGTACTTAGAGTTAACTCCTATTCCACTTTTTGTTTTCAGTTCCACTCATGTTCACCCAGTTTTCTTATGTTGCCCCTTTGGTGTGCCTTTTTGACCACTAAACCACCCCGTTATGTATCCCAATTATGCTCCGTGCTCTATACTGCACGTTTTTGTGACTGGAAGCGTGAGATGAGCTGGGTTAACGAACAACCAGTTCCTATTCAACCTTTTATAAAAGAAGGACACTCACATGAGAAAGGATTGTCCCCCTCTTCATCACTCCCATCATCATCATCCTCTCCATCAGACATAAGCAAGTCTTCATAGAGGACACTGGCCTGGGGCTGCTGGGCTGATCCTTCTTCCTCATCAGCAAGGTCACCATCCGCATCTTCCACCTCCTGGGTCACACAGAACAGGGATGGTGAAGATCCAACAACATATGTGCATTATTTACCACGCTGTCCACTCTGAAATGCGCCCTCTTTTCACAGTGCCAACATTTCCAAACAGCACTGCAGAGCCTGAACGAGCACCGCTGTGTCTCAGGGTGGCAGACACAGCAGGCAAGTCAGCACGCAGACTGTGGCTGGGATTTCGGTAAATATACTCACTGGGGCCGGAGTCTTGGGCTTCCCATCATCATCCTCATCAAATCCTTCGATATCTACGTCAGAGTCTTCCTCTCCCAGCCTTCCTCGCCCCTGGCGCATCTGAAGGGGAGCACAAACAGCAACAGCTCTGAGGAGGGACATCAGCCAGGGCTGTGGCTGACACCTGGGCCACAGTGCTGGAACTACTCACAGCCAGCTCCCCTTTGCCTGCACTGTTCAGAATAGCTCTCACCCCTTTCTGGTACCTCCTTCAGTCTCGTGCCTCCTAACCCTCTTCATTCTCCTGGTCATTTATTTTCATGGTCATTTTACTGCTATTCCCTCTCCTCCAACTTTTTTTTTTTGTTTAATACAGAATAAAGACTAAGAAAAGAATATTCTGTGGTTAGTGAATAGAAAAATTACTGCTCTGCAATTGGGACGAACAACACAAAGAAAGCTTTGCTCTGTCTTCCTGTAGCACAACATCTGCATTTTTACCATCCAGTTATCAGCACAGAGATCTTTCCCAAGGCTTACCGAACTTCAACTGTTTTTCCAAATAAGCAAAAGGCACATCTCAGACACTGGGATGACATGCCCTACTTTACTAGGCAAATTCCAAAGGCAATTCTATTTTTCAGGAAATAACTTCTCATTCCTGGAGGAAGTTTTTTACTGACGTTTTGTTAAAAACAACCAAACAGCCCGAAATAAGAAGAATTACTTTTTAAAAAAAAAAGCCTAAATAGCTTACAAAACTTTGCCAAACTGTAAACATTGAAAAAGCAGCCCAGCATTAATTGTGCTGCCAACTTGGTCTGCAAGACATACAAAATACCTGACACAACTGTCTGCTGTAAATAATGATGACGATGAAAAAATGTTATTTTCCATTAGAACCGGAATAAAGAGATGTAAAGAATCCCAGCAATGAAGGCAGAGTTGTACTTTGTTGACCATATCAGTCCTTTTCTTCACTCAGCAATAAGCCTTTCCAACAACACCACCGCCAGACAGCTCCTTGGTTTCTTCCCAGCACTAAACTATCCATGTCTTTTCCTCACGTTCTCCTTACCTTTCCACTGCTCATCTCCCAAGGGTTTCCAAGTGTTACACTTGCACAGCCTTCCAACCAGCACTCAGCTGGACCTGACTACAGAGCTCACCTTTAGACCACTTTTACAGCTTCTGTCCTAGAGAGCTCACTCCCTGAAGCATCATAACCACTTCTCACACTTGTTCTTAAAAAATAACTCTTTGCACACCATCTAACAAGGCACTCTACTAACAGATAGGCTGCAGGCAGATGGAGAACAATAAACAAAGAGGAGCCTCAGGATCAAACATCCATGAGGTGAAACTAAAGCAACGAAAGGGAAAGCTTTGCTTGGTCACTTGCCTGTGGGGTGTAGGGCCCAGGGGTCATTGGATCAAGACTCTCCAGATCTGCCTCCTCCAGTGCTGCCTCCTTAGCAGTGGAGATGTCTCTCTCCAGTTGAGTCAGGTGCTCGTCGTACTGAGAACAAAAAAAGCTCGCCGAGGTTGCAGAACAGAAAATTCAAACTTCCAAAAAATACCCCAGTAAAGTTGCCCACGTACCTCAGCTAAAGTCTGATAGCAGATGTTCACAATCTCCTGGGCTGTTTTTGTGTACTGACTGTCTGGCCCTGGAGGAAGAAACAGATTTCTTTATGCGTTTCTGATCTTTGTTTAATTCCAGCTGCCTGGTTTTGGTTACACAGCTCTCACAGGCTCCTGAATCCCAACACCTTCTGATGTAAGGGGAAATACAAAGCAGGGTTCACACTCGGCTAACACAGCACAACCAGTCTGTTCCAGCATTGAAAGCATGATTGATTTAGGACACAGGAAGGTTGTAGCCTGTCAGTCTCAAGGAAACCCCCAGGAACAAATCACTGAAGCAGAGATGTGTACTGAACAAGTAGAACATCCTCCCCAAAGGTAAGTGCCCCATTCTACACCAGGTGGTGAATAAAGCTTCATGTGACAGTGAAAATGTCACGGTTCAAGCCTGTCTTTTCTCAGCAGAAAGGAAAACAATCATCAAGTTCATCATTCACAGCTTCAGGCTTCGACACACTTTGACAGCACAGGTGCCCAGATGAATTAATTAATTCACAAAAGGCAGCTGAAGCCTTATTTTCACCACCTACCATTGTACTTGATGCTGTTGGCAAGGATGAGGTTAACATCATCCAGGAAAGTCTCTCTGTTCTGGTACTTGTGTTTGGAGATATTCTGGAAGAGATTGGTCACCCAGTCAGTAACCCAGCCTAAACATCTGTCAAGGGGCTGCACAGCTCAGGCTACACACCTTGCGGATGGTCTCCAGATCCATCGGGTTAGCAATCACCTTGTAGTAATCAGGAACAAACTTCTTGTTAACTGGGTGATGGAACGGCCAAGACTGAAAGAGAGAAAGCAGGCAGGTTTAGAGAGCCTCTGTGTAGAATTTTTTACAGTTTCAGCTACAAATGTCATAAGGCAAGTCTCCACCACTGATTAAAACTTTCATAATACACGGAAAGTGTTTACAAGCTACGTACATCTGGAACTGCCATCATCTTCTGAGTGACAATGTTATCCAAAATGAAGGAAAAGGCCACTTGATCATCATCATCCAGGAGGGGATTAATTGCTTTCTCTAATCGAGCCAGTTTATCTTCCTTCTGCAATAAAAGTGGGGAACATCAGTGGCTGACCCTAAACCAATAACTGTTACATCATGACACTGTGACCCAGAGAGACTCTCAATCACCTTTTTATGAAGACACTTGTAAATAATGGGGGGGGGATAATAGCCAGGATATAAGCCTATATACAAGATGAAGTAACTAGAGGGAAAAAAAAGCACCTATTTTTTTCAGAAAGACTCCAATGGGAACTGTTTAAAATGGTAAAAATTCAAATTCCTCCTGGGGCAGGAGAAAAGAGTTCCCTTAATCTTCTACTGCTCTCCCCAGAGGCCTGTGTTTTGTTATACACATGCTCTACCCTCAGTGTTCAGCCAGCCCTGACCATTCTGATCACAACTCATTCACAAGACTTGCCTCCTTTAGCTTCTCATCACACAGGTCCAGCATGGACTGAGAAATCTGGGTCAGGGAGTGCTTTGGCCCTGCAAACACACACAGCAAGCACAGCCTGATGAGAAAGGCCCATGTCACAACATGACTTCACCTTTACTCCCAGAGCACCACTGGCTGTATTTCCAGCACAGCTGGGAGTACATCCTCCAGTATATTTTATTTTCAATACCCACAATTATTAAAGGTTAGTACGGATTTTATATGAGAAAAGGTTATTTGCAGCAAATATCCACACTACTGGTGTACATTCTGTTAAGGTTTGGAAAGCTGTGCCAATGGAAGATTGGCCTCCAAGCCCTCCACCTTTGCCAAACATTCACAGTGCAAATCACCAAATTTCTGTTTCCCTGACTAAATCCAGTCAGTGAAGCAGAACTGCTAAGGAAGGCAAGGTGGGCATTTAAGGAATATTCAAAAACCCACAGCTTTAAATAATTTCAGGACTCCTCAGACATGGAAGCAAGCGTTTGCAGCAGACCTAGGAAAAGATAAATCTTATTTATTAGGATAAATCAGGGATTTAGCTGTCAAAATAATAAAGGAAGCAGTAAAGACACAAACCCAGTGCTGCCAGTGTCACCCACAATGCTGCACAGCCCAGGGAGACTCACTGTTGAATTAATACATTTTGGATGAAGACCTTTCTATCAGCAGTCAGAATAAAGCTGACCCTCAATGAATCAGCACTTTTCCCCAGCAGATACAAGCTCTACTGCAGAATCTATGCTTTTTTTTTTTTTTTTTTAAACTAGCTTTCATTCATTTCTTTAAACTAGTTTCCTGATCTTCCCAAATGGGGAAAAATTTATAGCGACTAAGGACCAAAATATGCAAAATCATGGCAGTAAACCCTACTCAAAGCTGCACCTCCAAGGCCCTGCACTCAACAGGTGTGAACTATTCCTATTTGTATCGAAAGATTCACTCTGCAAAGAATGAAAACACTGTTTTGCTTCGTTTCACCCTCTGGAAAGGAGACAGGCAGGACACAATTTCCCTGTGTTTTCACCATTGTAGGTTGCACTGTTCTTCACAATCAGCTCCAGGTGTTCCCTGAACTCCTCCCGGGACGGGTACTGCCTCTTCCGGACGTTTTCACGCAGGGTCTGCAAATCCATGGGCCGGGTGATGATCTTGTAATAATCCTTGACAACTTTGGGGTTCACAGGCGTATGGAAGGGGTATGTCTGAGGATGACAAGAAACAAATGCTTATTAACACCGTGCCAGCACAGCCAACCTCGGTGTAACCTCCACAGCTGAAGGGGCACTGATGTATAAAACCTTTAAACAAAGGTATTTTTGGTTGCAGCACGGAAGTCAAGAAACTAGACATTAAAAATCTCGTTTCAACTCCTATCTTCCATTTAATCTTTTGATATTGCAAGTTTCTGGTAAAATGCGGTCAGAAGGAGCGAAGCACAAATTTTCTCCAGTGCCACATGTATAAAAAAAGCCTCACACACTGCTCCATCAAATTGCATGTGTCTTGTTCTGGTTTTGTTGGGAAAAAAAAAAAAGTTTTAAAAAAAATCACAGCCCAGCTTTGAATATTTGTCCACACAAAACTATCCAATGCTACTTTCTACACAGGTATTTTAATCCCAAAAAGATCCTGAGATAGTTCAGGAAATACTGCACACCACCTGTGTGTGCAGGGCAGGGGGGACAGGGGTTGGCACACCCCTCACCTGAGAAAAGCCTGGCCCGATTCTGGTGTCTACAACACAGAACCCACTTCAACCACACTGCTTAAGACACAGGGGTTTGGGTGCCACAGCTTAAACTTACATTAGGAAGATCCCTTATGTCATTGATGATGCCCTCCAGGATGGATGACAGCGTCACCATGGGGTCTGTTCGCCGCCGGTGGATGGATTTGTGGGGACGCTGAAGAAGTGAGAGGCAGAAAAATTGAGGCAGTTACCAGATGCAAAAACTCCCAGAAATCCTAGGCCATTTAGTTTAGTGGTTTACTGGGCAGGACCTGGCCAGTTGGTACAAAGAGAAACAGAGGTGCTGCAATCAGCCCAGTAACACCTCCACTCACATTCAGATAATCACAGTGAACTGTCGTCCCCACTCGCCGCTTCTTCTTTGGAGGGAGCTGCTGTTTAGGAAACTTCAGGACCAGTGATTTCCTGCGAACCTCATCAGCACTGGAGACAAAGAAAAAAATCATAATACTTTCTCCAGCCCTCTTGTGAATCAAGACCATTTGTCCCCCAGTATTGCCTCTGGTTCCATCTGCCTTAATACCAAATGCACAATCAAAATTCTGCAGTAACAGTTTATGTAAAGCCCTGTCACTTTATTCCTGTGACGAATATACATGAGTGTTCTGCATTAAGCTCTAAATTGGTTTTTCTTAGTGTTCATCAGTATCTCTGCTTCCTCCCTTACCTCTCAATCAGCTGTTTTCCCAGGACAATTTTTGTCCCTTCTACTTTGATGAGTTCTTCATTATCATTGTGAATGACTGTTTTTTCCAGCTCTTCCTCCTGCTCCTCTGTCATTGCAACGGGATTGGAAGGTGGAGCATTGGTTTGGTAGTAGAGAGGGCAGAACTTATTAGTCCTCATATGCCCAATGGCACCACATGCTCCACATTTCAGCTGCAAAAATATGAGGAAGGTGACAGATCAGAATCCATACATGAGCTCCTAGTTTAGAGCCAAAATATCATTAAAATACCCTAATGAGACCTTCAGTACATCACTAGAACGGGAAACTTCTCCAGTACCCCAAGACTTTCTGGCATGCTTTACGTATGGATGTGCTTACTTTCAAGTCTGGACGCTCTTTCATTTTCTTGGGCTTCTTTTCTGGAGGGCCCTTGAGTTTCTCTTTCTCTTGGTTCCGTTTCAGGCGCCGTAACTGCTCCTGGATCCTGCGCCGCTCCTTCCGCATCTCCTCACGGTGCTGCTCATCAAACAGAGCAAACTTTCGTCTGGGGGGAAAAAAACACAAAAATACAGCTTTTCAGCCTCGCTGGTGATTTACCAGGTACTCCTCTGCCAGGTCTACCACTGCACAAAGTTCATAACAGCCTCCAGATGGAGAGCCATTAAATCTCTCTCTCTCCACAATTACAGTGCCCAGCTTCCACACTCAGCTGTACATTCCTTCATTTAAACAATATTAATCAAACAGGCTACAGGCCAAGTTAAAAAGGGGGTTAAAAAAACAGAGGGGGAAGAAAAGAAGAGATCACAAAGGTCTTACATGAACTCTTCGTCCTTGGTGGTCCGTATCCGGCAGTAGGCGTCGATGACCGCGGGTTTCCGGACCGTCTCGCATCTCACGTATTCCTTCCCATCCTCGTCTCGGAACGTGCGGTAGATCTTGAGGCGCCGGCCAGTGGCAGAGGAATTGAGGCTGGTTACAGAGGCAGTGTCATCATCCTTGTGAGAGCTGGCTGAGGCTCCTGAAGCTGATGCCACAAGAGAGCGTTTTGTTTGATTTTTTTTTTCGCCCCCCATGTAGAAACACCGTTGTTTAAATACAGCAGATAAGTGTTGGCTTGAAAACTTCCAAGACATAAATTAAGGGAAACCCAAGCAACAGAAGTCTTCCCCTTGCTTGTTCATGTTCTCTTATCACGACGTGGATAAAGGCGAAGCAAAAGTAAAACACTGAATTATCCACATGGACTGTAAAGCCAGAAGAAACATCTACAGCCAACAAGGACCCACAGGTATTTAAGGACAACTTGCAAGGCAACTGCAACATGGCCCTGAAGATAGATTATAGTGGTTTCCATCATAGAAACTGGCAGAAACTGATGGTCAGCTCTTATCCAGTTTTCCAAGGAGCATTCCAACCAGTGAGCAGGCCTTGCCTCATGTGCCCACAGAACCCTTCCAGCACTATTCATAATTTTGGATGAGAGGTTTTGTTCAAAGTAACACTGGATACATCACCAGGAAGTCTTCCACATATCCCTTACTAAAGCATTCCAGTAATTAATTATCTACTAGTGATTTATTCCCAATCTGGGAATAAATGGCAACAGTATCAATCCAGATGCAACAGAGCTCAGCTTTGCTCACACACGTGCAACAAGTAACTGTGGTCATGAGCACTGTCACACAGACAGAAGTTCATTCACAGGTCAAGCATTTTACCTGCCAGTTGGGGACATGTCAAGTTCTCTGCTGGAATGCACTTAAAATAAACACATCTGCAGGAGATCCAAGGCTGGCAGCTGCCCAGTTACCCCCAAAGACACTGGCAGAGCCCACGGTGCAACAGACACTGCTGTCAAGCTGCAGGCTGTGCCTATCTGTTCACATTCAGAGCTGTGTTTACACGTAAGACCCAATTAGAGAACCATAAGCTGGTTGCAGGAACTATTTGTGAACACATCTTGAGAAAAATACTGAAAAACAGCTCCACCCCAAAGAAAAAAAAAGCGTTCACTGCATGCAGCAGTGAATATCTAAATAAACAGAGTAAGTAAGGAATCCACACTCTCTTGAGAGGCCAGGTCAGGACATTGTCCAGCCTGACACGAGGTTCTGCATCCCTTCCCAGGCACAGTTGTGGTGGTTGCAGTTACTTACACAGCCCCTTTTTGTCTCTCCTGTCCTTTTTGCCCCTCTCTTTGTCATTGCCACTGTCTTCTCCCAGAAGCATCCTCTGCAATTCCTTTCGTTCCTGCTCTTCTCTTTCCCGAGAGAGCTGAGAACTGGTTTTCTTGTTCTGTAACATGTTCTCAATATTCTTGCCCATCTCTTCAAAGTCACTGTCTTCAGCTGAGCTGCTGTCTGTGTCTGTTGACAGGATCTCGGTGGATTCCAGAACCCTGAAACAGGAGGCACCTTGAAAGTCAGTCACTGTTGCCCCCCACTCAAATAAAACATAAAAAAAGCAGCCTGAAACCTTCCTAGAAACACAAAGGTAAAAATGATGCAAAAGCTTGAAAATGAATGTTGCAATTCACTACTACAAGAACAGGCATGATATATTTCTTTCTCAGTTCTCCTTGTAATCCCCAGGTCAAAAAAATCAAATTGTTCCAAGCCCATCTTCTCCAACACGTTGATCTCTTCTTCATCAACAGTACTATATTCCCTCACCACTCTCAGGTCCTGGGCCAGAACAAGGAATAATACACAAATTCTTCTGGCAGTTCTAAAGAACAGGACATAGAATTGGTAGCTGCTACCCAAGACAGAGATGGCAAACTGCTCATAACAAAACAGAACAAAAAAAGAGGGAAGAGAAAAAAAGGAAGAAAGGAAAGAGGGTGGTCAACTACTGATCTGGGGAACAGCAGAATATCACAAGTGGCAGACTATGCAACTTATTCTACCTTTCCAAAAGGTTTGTGAGAGCAAGATGGATTAAGTCTGACCCCTGAGTTTCTATTTAACAGCCAAAGGCCTCTTTCTCAGTGCTGTATTTTGTGTGCCCAAAGAGCTGAATCAACATCTACCTATCAGTGAGCCCCAGGCACGCACAGTGCTGGACTTGTAAGGTGGGGACAGGGTGGGGTTCAAGGCTGTGAACATCAGATAAGAACTTACTTATTCTGTAAATCAAAGATGCGCTGACACTCCTCTTTGTACCTCTCCTGATGTTCTGCCACAGAGAACCGAGAGCCACGTGCAAATTTGCTCATAGGGCCTTCCCCTGAGCGAGCCTGCTCCGTGGACATCGTACGGACCACATCGATCACCTCCCACCGGGACAGCTTCTTTATCTGGGAACAGGAAGGCACAGACACACCTGAGGGAGCTGACCGTGGATCTCAGCTCCTTCCCACACCAGGGCAGAGCAGAAACCTGTATGTCCCTTTCACCACCAGCTGCTAAACCCACGAGTGAAGCCTGGAACCTGCTCCAGGTGCCCGCTCACCTCCTCCTCAGGAACTCCAAATTTACGCAGAAGCTGTTTGGCGTTTTTGAGAGAAAGCCGGCGCAGATCAGCGTCTGTCCCAGTCACTGTCTTCTTCACTGGCTGAGGCTCTTTATCATCCTGTTCAGAGAAAGATTCAGCCTATTCATGTCATCACATAGCAGCCTTTCCCGGGCTCATGTGCTATTTTCTCTTCCCTCCATTCCTCCCACGTGACTTTCCAGTTATTGCTCCTCGGCCAGCCCGGCCTTGGGAACTGTTACCTTCTGCTGGGTCGGTTTGTTTGGAATCTTGACATAAGAAAAGCCTTCACCACAACCAGTAGGATCTGCGACACCAGTCACTTCCAGGAGGCACTTGCCCTTCATGGCAGCAATGAAGGCCCGCGTGGTGTTCCACGGAGCCGTGCGCACCTGCCAGCGAGGAGGGAAACAATCACAATCCTGCCACATCCATGGGGAATTCCAGGCTTTTAATTGTGGATTCCTCCAGTCATACTGAGAGCTTCTCAGCTGACCTAATGAGAGTGAATTCCACTTCTTGATCCTTCGGTTTGCCCCGATAAAACTCCGGTGAATAACCAGAGTGCTGACTCACAAAAGGCATTTGAGGCAAAAAGCCTAGTCCTGCAAGGGCCTGGCACGAAGGATCCCCAAAGATACCCCACAGACAGGTATAAGCTGGCAGCAAAGTTCCCAGGAAAGCTGCCAAGAACTTCTGAACCACTGAATCCTACTTTAAACACGTCCTTTCAATATAAAAGCCTCGTTTCTCTCTGGCCATGCAGATTTACCTATTGGCAAGCATACTCATGTATCACTCATGTTGGTACCTCATCATCAATCTTCATTTGGAAATCCTCTTCATTCTCCTCTTCTGGTGCAAAGAAGGATTTCTCCCCGTAACCTGCATCCTGCAGAGAAATATTAGGGAAAAAAATGAGGACTTGAAGTCTTAAAAAGGTTACTGGAGAGAGAATTAAAAGCACCTCTGTGGAGACTTGTCATGCTCAACAAGCACACTTCCACAGATGGTTGTGTCTAAGATTCACTGTGACCCACAGTATCACAGATGCCAAACTGCCCAGTGTTTTCACAAATTCCATAACTAAATACTGCACTCAACTCCAGAAAAATAATCAGTCTCTCTCACAGCCACAGACTGGTTGCTTTCTGCTGTACAGCTCCAGCTAAAAACTCAGGCCCTTTCTTGCACCTTCCATTTGCTGCCTTTGAGAAGAGCTAATTCAGTGCACGAGTAATAGGTGGTAAGAACAGAGTGTCTCTCTCTTTAAGAACTAAACTCCCTTTTTATGCAGCAGAGAACTTAGCAAGCTGCACAACAGCCAGGGACCTGATTTGCCAACTTCACAGCAAAAACAGTTTTAGGCAGGAGTTACCTCAGCCTTCACAGAACTGCTTGTCAGCACCATTTACCTTCAGTCGCTGCTCAGCTGCAATCATGCTGTAATAGGCACAGCACTGCTCTGGGGACACCATTGCTCTGATCTCCTCCTCTGTTGGCAGTCTGAAATCTGGCTTCAGAACCCACCAGTTTGAGTCCATCCCTGAAAAATGCACAGGTCAAACACTGAGGAGCTTCCCACATGTGCTGGATGCCATCACAGCCCTAACTGTATTTCAGGATTTGGTACCCTGCTGCAAGGCTGGCAAAAGGAGCAAATATGACAAATCTGTGACATTTAGGACCACTAAAAGTGATAGGTTTTTTCACTCCGTGTAAATCAATGCCCTCTAAACTCAGCAACTGTTATATAGGCAAGTTCTCATACATTCATGCTCATTCAATGTATAAACTACACTCCAAAAGCATTTAACCCACCTTTCACTTCTTCACCTCAAATTACTTTTCCCCGTGGCTGGCCTAAAAAGCTTTGTCTTACCATCTGCTTAACGTCCTGCACATTCAAAAATGACAAAAGTCAGGTTCTCAGAGCGCTGCTGGACCCACAAAGACGGGACAAGCTTTTATCTGCACATACATGCTTGCAAAACAACACAGCCACACACAGAGGGAAAGGAATGTGTATGTGCTGGTGTTGTGCATTGTTATTTTACGAGTAAATCACTGCCCAAAGGGTTGACCGAGAGGAAGGTTCCAATACCTGTGCGCTTGAAATCGGCACAAAGCTTGAGCCGCTTGCGGATGCTGCTCTCGGAGTGGGAGGGAAAGGCCTTCTTGATGTCCTCCATCCGGATCCTCCGAGGGCGGTCCCTGCTCTTCCAGAAGAGGCGATAAATAAAGACCTGCAAAACAAAACAAAACCAAAACCCTTCTGTGGCGCCCGAGGAAACGCGACGAACCCGCGGAGGCAGCACAGGCAACGCTGTTCCCAGCGGCTGCTTCAGACTTCCTGCAGAAAATTTCTCACAAATTCACTCTGTAAAGTTTTCCAAGCCACGTTTTTCAGCTATTTTTGAGGAGGTGGAAAAGAAATGTTTGACTTGAAGTTCTGTGTTGTCACATTAGGAACGTTCATCTGTGAACGGCAGGGATTTTCCTGCTCTGCAAACACCTCTTGAGTTACGGTTCTGAATTAAACTGACAGTAAATTACTAGAGATTTTCCTCCAAAATCTGAGTTTGGGGATAGCTATTTGAATGCTCATGGACAGTCCCAAAGCTTCACTGCTACAAGATCCAGGAAATCAGCAAAGGCCTATGAAGCAACTTTAATTCTGTGCTGTGTAATAGGACTGTGATTCTTAATTTAAAGATTCCTTAATTGTCTCTTAGTAAAACCCATGTAACTGTCATTTTATCCAGCACAACCACTTCAAATTCATTCTGATTTCTTCAGTTTCCTACACTTTTATGTAATTTCGTAACCCTTTGTTTTGTTTAATAAAAAGCCTCTATCATATACTTATCAGTCAGGATGCAATTAAGCAGAAGCAGCATGTTATAAATCACTGGCTAAATGACAACCAAAATGTACAGTTAATATCCAGTTCTTGAAGTGCTCAAGAAAGCAACAAAGGGAGTCATAGCAGGATAATGAGCTTCCCAAATCAAGGCTGTCCACCTGAGGTCTGTGCCATGGGCTTTCCCCAAAGATCCCCAAGCTGTCTCTTCTCACATACCTGCAGGAAATCTCTGATATGGGTGTTGGCTCGTTTAGAGTTGGGACCAGGAACTTCATAAAGTGGGCACTCCTGACCAACTACAAAAATATCCACTAGTTCTCGGATGTAATATCCTTGGCGTGTCCGGATGATCAGAAAATCAGTTTCAGGCATCTTGTGTAAATAAATAGGGGCCCGGAAAAGATTGTTTTCAAATGCCTGTTGAGAGAAATAAAGTTTGAAAGTCGAGTTTTGATCAAATTTCCTGTAATTCAAGCTACAAAAAAAGAGCTAAGAAGAAAGGGTTCGCTGCAAGGGTATCACTGACATCACAATCTATGTAGATGTGCACTCAGAAAACTCCTTGTTTATGCAGGGAGCAAGGACTGAAGACTCTGCCCAGGAGGCTGCAAGAACCTAACCAGAAAAGGAGAAAGCAGCAGAGTTCAGCATTTAAAGGTAAAATAGTTTAAACCAGCACCAAGGAGTGGAACTGGCATCAAACAGACAACTAGCAGTGCAGTTCTCAGGAAGTACATGTAAAATTTTGCTCATGGATCCTGGACCATGATAAATCCATGTTTTCTATGCCCTCCAACACCTGTTTACTGAGCTCCCCAACATTCAAGCAGCTTTGGCCTTCCACTCAGTAATCTCTAACAGCATTTCTAATGCCATTACCAAGCAAAGCATCAAAGATTCAGTTCCTGCAATTCCTGCCATTCCTACAACAATTTTAAAAAACATACAACACAGATTTTTTTTTTTTAAAAGAAAGCTAAGAACTGAATTATTATCAGCAAACAAAGAGGTGTAAACTGGAAATAAAAAAGAATCTGGTCTTTTTGGAAGCTGAGCATTATTTGTGATTTAATAAACAGGGTATGTAATAGGCACTCTGCCTATCACTCCGAATTCAACTTAGTCTGTAAGCTCATGCTTGCTTTTCTCACCTGCAGTAACTGGCCTGGATGCAGAGAACCCAGGAATGGGGAAGTGTGACAATAAACAGTCTCTCCATATTTACAGTCTGGAGCTCCTGGATCTTTGCCAGGTTTCTGCAATGTGCAATGAAGGTGCAGTTAGGACTCGGAGAGAGAGAGAGAGAGAGAGAGAGAGAGAGAGGGAAAAAAATCGCTGTCCAGCAGCCAGGTCTGCATACTCACCCTTTTGTAGTAATTTTTAATCTTGGTTGCCATGCCAACCTGCATCATCAGAGGGGCGTTCTCCTCGCTGTACTCGGCCAGGATGAGGTCGCCATCCTTGCCGGTGAGGTCCTGCGGCGTGCGCATGAAGAACATCTCCCCCCCGCCGGACGCCTGGCGCTCCTGCTCCCTCATCTGCGCCGGGGACGGGACAGGGGCAGGGCAAGGCACATCCAACGCACCTGCCGAGCCCAGGGAGCCCCTGGAGACACCAGAGGCGCAGGAACAACCCTACCTTGGCTTTCTTCTTGATGTGCTTCAGCAGGGGCTGCACGGCGTGGGGCCCCGGCTGGGACAGGGCCCCGAAGGAGTATTTCTTCAGCGGGGGCCGATGGAACTGCCGCAGCTTCATGGGACCCATGTGGGTGGGAAAGAACGGCTGGCGAAGCTCCACGGCTGGGATGGAGTGCTAGCACAGGGACAGGGTCTGGGTCAGCAGTGACAAGCATCATCTCCAAACCAAATCATCCTCCTGCCCTGTTAAACCTTAACCTAACAGAACCCAGCCACACCTGCAGGCATCGCAGCAGTAACACCAGTGCACTGAAATTCACTTTTCACACACGCTGCCTTCAGACAGGACGTGCTTAGTGCCATGTATTTCCCATTTAATACTCTCTTTGTGTAAAGAGATGGATTTAATTTTACTATTTCAACTGGTACCCAATGAGAGGATCTTTTTGTTAACTAGGAACTAAATGTAAAGCCTTTATCCCTATGGGTGGGAGAGAAGTTCATTTGGAATTACACACAGTTTTCCCATTACAGAAGATGCTGGAGTCAGATGAGGTTTTAGAAGAAGTCACTGAAACCTCCTACTCCAAGTGAACTTCCCTGAGACTACCTGAATGATGTTGCCTCCAAAGGTTCCTCGAAGTCCCTGCTGTTTGGGGTAGTAAAACTCATCATTGGAGAGGTTCCAGGGATCCTTCACCTCTGGCTGAGACATATTCTAGATCAATTTTAAACACAGAGAAAGAGGTGTGAAAAAAAACACCAAACCAAAATCACTCCTTCCTCATCATTCCCAGCCTGCAAGATGCCAAAGCTCATGCTGACCTGCTGTGGCTCTTCCTTGATGACACCTGTTTTTCCCAACAGGATTCGACTCTTCTTTAGAGAAGATTCTTTCTTGTTCTCCTTGGATGGAGAGTTCAAAGTCATTTCTTCCTTTTCATCAGGAATTTCTAAAAACACAAACAATTTCACTTTGTAGGGCACTTGTTCCCCTTTTTTTTGCACCTCACCCAAAAGAGATTCCTGAAAAATTCCAGGAAAGCGGTGTGAATTTTAAAAGTTAGCAATTTCTGAAGGATAGAATCCCCAGGGCCTGGTGACAAGGGCTTGGTAAATGCTATTATCAATTCTGTGCACAGATCACACTATGCAAAATAACTATGGGTTCATTTTGTTACTATTTATACAAACATCTGCAATTCTGTGCTGTATTCCAGTCTTGGAAAGAAAGCACTGTGAGTCTGCTTGTCTTGACTTTAACAAGCTCAAATTAAGACTGATTTTCAGGGTTGCTGGCCAATACCAAAACATTCCAATCAACACATATTCAAATTCTTAGAACTAACCCCCTTTCCTGAGGAAGAAAATGCAACCCAGGCTAAATAAAAAAGTACAGTAATATATGCTTATCCTTATTCAGGGATTCATTCAAATTTCAAATTAAATCACATTCGAGTCAAACTCAGCAGCAGTTTGCAGCAGCAATGAAAGTGATGAGTGGTATTACACAACTCCACTGCTCCCTGTGCCATTAGTGCAGTCTGAAAGAGGCTTAAGGAATCTGCTTCTTCAGGCTCTGAGCACGAGCAATGACGAGAATGGCACGGGCTAGTCTGTGGTTTACTCCTTTACCAACATGCACGCCAGGAAAATAAGGACAGTCACTTCTAAAACACACCATGAGTCAGATGAGCTAAGTTAAATTTAAGTTTCAGGGCATTCATTTTTGCTTCCCCGTTAGTGATTTTAATTTGGGAGCTGGAAGTACACAGCACACCACTGAAAGTTATTAGAGTTGCTGCCTCCTGCTTAAGCCTTTGATTACTTGCAAATTATCTTCAAAAGCCAGAGCAAAGGAAGGCCTTAAGTATTGCCCCAGTTCATTTACTTCCACTACAGTGTGATTATAAACCCTTGGCTTCCACTTCCCCTTGTCTTCTCCCATTTGAGTCAAATCCCTGGATGCCACAAACCTACCCAGAATTATGTTTTCGTCATTTGGATCAAGTGTCAAGACGGGGGGATCCAAGTAGGTTTCCATTGCCTGATCATCCCAGATGATATTGTCTTCCCAACGACCATACACCAGCTCTTCATTGTCAATTGGGAAAATAGAGTACCAGGGCTTGTCTTCATCCAGGGAAACTGCAACAACCACAAGGTAGAACCCTTGAGAGTTTTACACACAGCTTTGGCAGGAAGCTATTTCAGAGCCCATCCCCACATCTTATTCCCTCAACCTTCCCCATCTTTCAGGGGCTTTCTGAGGCAGGACCTCAAAAAGGTGAAAGAAAACACATCTTGGAAGCAAAGAGGAAGCAGAGCCCCAAGTCTGAGCTTTACCAACACCTGAAACACAACCCCCAAGAATGAAATAAGGTCTCTAGAAATTTCAGAGCAAACAAGTAGCCTTTCTACCACAGAAATGAGGGCAAAAGACTGATATCCTCATTACCTTGCTGTTCAGGGGCCTTTTCTTTGCACTTTGCTAGACCCAGGACTCCTGCTACACTGGGCTTCTGTGCTAGTGGAATTGGTGAATTGAGCAAAGAGCCACTGCGGTTCAAACCTAGGGAAAAGGAAAACAGAAGTAAGGTTAGCTTGAGTGGGAGGCTCAGCTATTCCACGTGGAGAGAAGAAAGCCAGAGTTGGTCTGGGTTGGGGTTTTTTTAACAAAAGTTACCCACTCTGGTTTTGGAAAGAAACTGAGAGTCTCCGAATTCTGAGCAGAGCTGTGATTTTGCCAAAAAGCATTCCCTGACAGGAAGAATTATGTTCTGCATTTGAGACATGGAATTGCCCATGTACAACTGTACTACATGCTGTAGTTGAGCAAGTAAAATTCGTACCAGACCACTGATTACCTTGCTGGGCATTGTATGCAGTGGCATTTCTAGTCATGCTCGATGGCAGCCAGCCTGCCAAACTTGCACGCTGTGTCTTAGTCCCCTTGTGCTTGACATCCTCTCCATTCCAGATGACATCATCTTCCCACTGGAGCTGTGTCACCATAAGGAAGTGCTCATCAGCTAGCAGATCATCCTTCTCCTTCGTTGACTCCGAGTCCTGGAAGGAAATAATAATAATTGCTGGAAGACCCAAATTGACTTCATTCTTTCAAACTAAAGCAGGAAAATTCCAAGTCTCATTTTGCACGGTGCACAACTGTCCACCAGCCCCACACACACCCCCTCAGTTCCCCTCTCACCCCCTCATCTGCGTGTCCTTTAACCTCCTGCTCGCTCTTCTCCTTCAGCTTGAAACCGTAATCAAATCCACTGCCATCCTCAGGGATGCCCAGCATGTCATACCAGAGCTGTGCGGGGCCGTAACGCCACTCTGCCACCTTGGGCTTTGTGTCTGTCACTTTGTCGATGTCACCAGTCGACTGGGAGAACTTGGACTCCACGGGTGCCATCATGGTAATCTGGAGCACAGCAAAGGGGGGATGGTTACATGGATGCTCTATCTAAAGTGTCACTAAGAGGTTTCTTCCTTCCAAGTTTCCCAGCTTTATCCTTGTAGAAGAAAAGCCTAAGAAGTTCTTTGCCATCCTTACTATCTGCCTTAAGAATGTTCTGCACTTAAGACTTCCAAGAACACAGAGATTTCTTCTTGACACAAAGAGGATAAGCTCTCCTATTGATCCTTTACCACGGGTGCAGCCTTGTCAGTAAGAAGCAATCACCTGAAGTCACTGACTAGTATTTGGAGAAGAGCTGCTGCACAGCTGGAATAAAGCCAACCCTGTTCTCCAGTTCTGTTCTGAGGGAAAAGCTCTTTCCTCTACAAGTGGCTGTCCAATCCACCACTACCCCCAGCACCAGCTGGTGACCCTCTCTAAGTCTCACATATCCCACCTCATCATCTGAAAGGCACTGCTCAGGAGGCGGAGGAGCAGCAAACTCATACTCCCAAGGAGATTTTCCTTCCACTCCACTCTCAGCCACAACTTCACCCTCCTGTATCTGCACTTCTTGGGCCAACTCCCGATGCTTCTTCTTGCGTTTCCTCCGGGCGCTTCTCCAGACCGACGGGACGTTCTTTCCGGGGCCAAAGAGACGCAGGAAACGCAGCACCTAAAGCGGGAAAAAACGAGAGGATTAGAGGAAAAACAGAAATGGATGTATTCTTAATCTCAAATGCAAAGAAACTCAGAGAGAAGAAAGGCTGCCTTTACATATTGGGCATGTGGTTAGATACCACCTGGAAATAACTGATTTTCATTTTGAACAATCCACAATCTTCAGAAAGACCGAGGGAGGTTGAAGAAGAGTTGATAAAATTATTAGCAAGAGGAACAAGCTAAAAGAGAGTTATATAAAAGTAGAGATTTCTTAAGAAAACAGATAAATAACAGAGTCCAGAAATAATACCCTTATTTTTATTTCATAGCACCTCATAATGTAGTTGCCCTATACTGCATTCCTCCAAAACCTGCACTAATGACAAACTTCCTCTTGTGCTCCTTCTATGGTTATGATTGGTAGTTTTAAAGCACTTACAAGTTTTTTAATCTAAGATCCCTTGTAAAGAGGAAAAGCATTATTCTGTAACCAACATTTAGGAAACAGGAATTGGAACCAAAGATTTGCACAGAGTCATCCTATTGATATTCCCTGTTTGACAGCTATAAGCTCATCTTCATCTTCCTTCTCCTCCTACCTTTCCTCTCCTCTTCACAGCTTTAAAACTTTCAAAATAATTATCAAAATACATTGACCACATTTTATATTTGGGAGCACTTAGGAAAGTCTGGTAATGAATTTGCTTTGTGCAAAACCCAAGCATTCTTTCAGCCAACTTGCTATTGAGCTGATTTCTGATTTACACTCAAAGGAGTTTTGAGGGAAAAATTAAATAAATGATACAGATCACAAATTGTTTCAGGAAAAGCACACCCAGCTCAGGAGAGAAGCAGCAAGTATTTGCCAAAAAAGTCAGAAAGCAGGCAGATCAGCACTGGTTTTTAATCATCTGGCAAAATATCAAACCAACAGGCCTGTGGTCTTACAGAACAGCAAAACATTCACATCCTGATCTTACAGGATGCTTTTTAAGAGGTGCCTGCAAATGGCAGGAAAAGCATTAAATATTAAGCAACCTGGAAACAACAGTACACAGAAACTAGAGGAAGTATTGAGTGAGCAAGAATATGTGATTATTTAGTACATACCCTTAGCACTGTACAATTCACACTTAGAGGGCTTACATGACACACATCTCCTCCACGGATCTCTTACAATACCTTGCCTGGCCGAAATTCTGGGAAGAGCTCTGTGACACTCGGCAACTGTTTGGTAGCATCTCGCTGCATGACTCCTGCAAGAGGAAGGGTGAGTTTGCCTTCCTTGGATTCTGCCTGCCTGGCTTCTTGAGGTCCCATCTCTGACTCAGAATCAGAGCTGCTGCTGAAATCCACCTTGTCGGAGGCAGCAGAGGAAGGAGCAATGATGGAGGGCAAAATGATACCGTCTCCACCTTCAGATACTACAATAGAACAAGCACCTTAGAAACAAAACAGGTCTCCTCCCTCTCCCCTAGCATAACCCCATAATGCCACATCTACTGTTTATACCAACTCATGCAAAAGTTAAGCCTTTGCAGGTGCAAGCAGTACCATTCTGGCTTAACCTTTCATTTTATCCTAAGTGTTCCAGGTGCATTGCCCAGCCACAACTGAGAGGAGGAGATAAAAAAAAAAAGCAGTTTCATGGTCAATAGTGGTATTTCAACAACACAGAACTTCACCCCACCTTTCACACAATCCTGTAACATCCCACCTCAGGGCAAGCACTCACCTGCAGGCAGGGCTGGGATGACGGGTGGTCCCTGCTGCACAGCAGCCCTCGCTTCCTTCAGACACTCACATTGCCAGAGAGAAGAAGAAAGCCCTCACTCACCAGTGGCGGCTGCATCCTTTTCATCTTCTTTTTTCCCAGGTACTGGAGGTGGTGGTGGCGGCGGCATCAGCTTGGAATCGATATCTTCACAGTCGGCATCGTAATCGTCCTCGTCTTCGTCTGATCAGGGAGGAGACAGGACTGCTTATTAAGCAGATAATAAAAGGAAACCAGGCACCCTTTCCACTTATACTATCTCAAACCTGTCCCAACCTGATGGCAAGGACACCATTCTTATCTTGCAACTAGATGCAAAAGTCATACCAGTTCAGCTTCCTGCACAAACCCATTTGTAAGATGGGAGTTTAAGAAAGAGTGAGAAGGAGGGAAAAAAATAAACTGACATAAAGATGCCTGAAGCACTTAAAATATATATGTATATATCCTGCTATCACCTCCTTTTGTTCACACTTTGCAGAGCAAATAAAGCTACTAGAGAAGAAAAGTGTGGTTAAAAACCCCATTCACCTTTGTGTCCCACTAACCACAATATGCCACCAGAAAGATTAAGGGTAAGGCAGCTTTAAGGAATATGCAAAGATTTAGCATTTGCACCAAGGGAAAAGCTGCATGTCTTTGAAAGTCTCTTCTAGGCCAGACAGTGATACCTGGGACCAACAGAAGAACCAAAGTGCCTTCTGCAGAAAGTCATCTCAGAAAAAAACAAACAACAAAAAGAAAAGTAAAACAGAAGAAAGAAATTGAGGTGACTCTCTTAGGAAACAGGACCATATTTCTATCTTTGAGTAGCTCCAAGAGGCACTAGATCCCCCCTTTACCTGGCCTTCGAGCTGGCTGCAGGCTGCCCATCGCCTGCTTGTACCGCCGGCTCTCGTCCTCTGCCACCTCGGTGATGTCTGAGTAATCAACAGCATCTTCCGTGCTCTTCACCCAGCCTAGGGAGAAGAGAAGCCTCGTCACACAAAACCTCACCCCAATGTATGTTCCTAACTGCAGACTTCACTAAGTACATGTGAATCCTTTGCTTCCTTCACTTGGAGGAACAAAAAACTCGGTTTCCCACCCGAGTACCTTTCCCCTCGTTCTAACCAGAACTCCCACAGCTTTGAACTCCCCCTAAGGATTGGAAAGTGAACAACTGTAGCACAAGGAACACCCATCAGCAAGTTCAGAAGTTAAGAAAGAGACATTATATCACTGTGTTAAACAGGCTTCTCTAACGCAGGGGCAAACACAGGCTTACTTGTGAAGGAGGAGACACAAATAAAAAACTTAAAAAACTTAAAGCAAGTGTAAAATTGATCAGGAGATACTGAAGCATTCAGTCTGGCAAGCAGGAGAAGGCAAGGCCTTTGACAGAGACCCTCTGACCAGGTAACACCATGACATTCCCTGCAGACCCTGATGAGCCAGGTGCATTTCCTTCTCTCCAGCAAGAGCTCTGACCCTGCAGCCCCCTCTGCTCTTTAACCCCAGGTACCCCAGTGCCAAACCTTCCTCGTCCAGGTGTGCTCCCTCGCTCTCCGGGCTCTCCTCCTCGCTGGCTGTGATCTCAGTGATCAGGTTGCCCAGTCCCAGCACGCCCAGCCCCGCCAAGTGCTTCTTGGATTCCTGGGGAGACCAGAGCTGGCAGGCTCCAGCAGCCAAGGCCAGGCCAGCTGGGTGCAGTCCTGGAGCCCACCCCAAACACCACAGGACACTCTGGCACACCCTGAGCACCCCAGTACAGCCTGAGCACCCCGAGTCATCCTGGTGCATCCCGGATCGCTCCAAGCACCCCGGTACACCCAGATACACCTCGAGCACCCAGCTACAACCTGAGCTCCCCAGCACATACCAGGCCACCCCGAACATCCCAGTACATCCTGGGTTACCCCAGGCACCCCAGAACACCCTGGGTCACTCCAGTTCATCCTGGTACAACCCAGTTCACCCAGTACACCCCAGGTCACCCCGAGCACCCTGGGTCACCCCAGTTCATCCCGGTACATCCTGGGTCATCCCAGTACACCCCAGGTCACTCCGGTACATCCCAGCTCAGCCCGAGCACCCCGGTATAGCCCGGGTTATCCCTGTACATCCCGGTTCACCTTAGTACATTACAGGTCACCCCGAGCACCCCGGTACACCCTGGGTCACCCCAGTACCTCCTGGTACACTCCGGTACCTCCTGGTGCACCCCAAGCACCCCAGCACATCCCAGTGCACTCCGAGCACTCTGGATCATCCCTGTACATCCCAGGGCACTCTGGTTCACCCCGGCACATCCCGGTACACCCCGAGCACCCCGGCTCACCCTGGCTCACCCCGGTACATCCCGGTACACCCCGAGCACCCCGCCTCCCGCAGCGACACGGCCCTACCTTGTCGAGGACACTGTCCCCCTCCAGCTGCCCCGCCTCGTTGATGTTGCCGAAGAGGAACCCGGCCAGGGAGAAGGGCTCGGCGCGGCCGCCGTCCCCATCCTCCTCGCTCTCCGAGTCCGACATCGCGGCGCGACCCGGACACGGAAACGGGGCTGGCCCCGCCCCCCGGACGGCCCCTCCCCATAATGGCCCCGCCCCTTGAAAGACCCCGCCCCCTGAACGGCCCCACCCCTGCATGGCCCCGCCCCCGAGCGGCCCTGCCCTGCCCCGCCCTTCCCCAAAATCCCCTCCTTTAGTGCCCTCTGGGAACCCGCTTTTCCCCGGAATGCGATAAATTCAGCACGGCTGCGGCACACAGAGTCAATGCGACAAGCCACGGAGGTGGGGGGAAGGAAAGGTTTATTGCGACGCATAATTTAAAAGTAAAGAGAGGGGGAGGGGAAAAAAAAAATCCTTTAAAACTGTTAGACGTGATACAAATTATTTTATCGTATAAAATCGAGTCGCCAGTGTATGTATCAGTACCAACGCTTCAGAGTCTTGGGCTCCCGCTGGTGGTGGGGGGTCCTTGCTGCCCACCCAGGGGTGGGGACCCCCCCTGTGAGATCCATCCCCTCCTCGGGGTCAGCCCAAGCAGCACCAAGGTTTCTACAGAGTGAGGTTTAGCACTTGAGAACGAAGCATGGTGAGGCTCTTCTAGTTTAAATTTCATAGAAATAGCTGCAGCTGTAAACTGAAGAAAGCACTTCCACGTCTAAGCACACACCTCGTAACATCCTTTGGACACACAATTCCTGAACAAGCATGCTCAGCTTCAGCTGTATTTTTTTAAAAAAAACAAGTATTTCAGAAATCATTCACAAACTGAAAGATTAAAATCTGTCTCTTCACAGCGAGTCTCTTCTGTGAATTAAGACATACACACTGCATCTCTACTCAGTAACAAACTGAAGGATCTTGAACGGTTTGGGAAACCCACACGGCTTAACCGGGTTTTCTGATCTCCCAAAACAAGATAAAATCCAGCCATGGGATGATGTGAAGTCTGTATTTGTCAACTGCCCACAGAAGAAAAATAAAACATGGGAGCAACAGAACTGATTGTAGACTGAAGCACTGGACTACTTGCAATAAAATGCACCAAAAATTTGTGAGGGTGGGGGGAAAAGGCAGGAAGATCAGAAATGGAGAATGCCCACTGAATGAAGCTCATCCTCAGGAAAAGCAGAGGCTGGAAGAAACCAGCTGTCAGCCAGGGCTCTTACTCCTGGCAGGAAGTGACAGAAATACAAAGCATCCAAACAACCAGGTACTCCAAAGCCAGTAAAAAGCTTTTGATGGTGTTCAAAGTTCACTCCCTGCTCATTTTCATGACTACTGTGCTACTCTCCTCAGTACTGTTGTGCAATCCGTTTGCTAAGGAATCTAAACAGGCATAAAGTGTTCTGGCATCATGCAATCAATAATGCAACCGATTCAAATAAACTGATTAAGCAGTTGAATTTTATCTCGCCATACTCTTTTCCAGTTCACACCAGGATGGCTGTTTGTGAGCCTACAGAAACGGAGGGGGGGGGCAAGGGTTGTGCAATAATACCTTCTCACAAGATTTCTTCTCCACAAAATTCTTGTAATCCAGTTAGGAATAACCACGAAAGACACAGAACTAAAAGGTTTCAGCACGTAAAAAAAGTAAAAACTTTTTAAAACAGTAGTAGCTTCAGTACAAAACTGCAAATATATGTAGCAAAAAAAAAAAAAACCAAAGGTAGACTTTTAATTTCAATAACAGGCACCTCTTAAGACTAGTTCAAACATGTCACAGACTTTTTAAAGTACATCTCTGAATAAAGCAAAGGTTAAGGGCTTGCACCAGGGTAACTAGACAGTTGATTTAGGTCTGACCAGCATTAAAACAAACCATGTCCACTGGCTTAAATAAATACATTTTAAACGTGGTAAAGTCTATTTACTCAGTTACTGAAATTTACCTACAGAAAATAATCTTGAATTACAAGGCACAGAGTTAATTGCTGCCTGCAAGCCCAGCCCACACTAAAGGCCTACAGCTAAAGCCAAGGCAGAACGTGGTAAGTAGAGGTTATCTCACAGAATACTCTATACCCTCACAGCCTTCAGGGCACTGTGGCAGGACCCACATCTGGAACAGCACTTCCCCTACCGGTGCAAAAGACGCAAAGACACTCCGGGCAATGGCACTTGGTGAAGAAAAAGATGCAGAGTCTGCAGGGCTTCTGCAAACACCCCACAGACCGGGGGTTTTGGTACTGCCTGCGCTCAGGCAACGTCTGGAACTCGGTGTCGGTTCACTAACCACAGGTACCAGGATTTGGATTAACTGCAATTTATAAAGATCAGTGGCTAAAGCAGTACCAGAGTGAGCACGTCTCGGATAAACAAGAACTGCAGTTGGCGTCAGCATCAGCTACACCAGCTGAAGAAAGGCACATCCTCTCCAAGGAGCGGAATTAGGGCGCAAATAAAAACATTTCTATCCACCTGGTATTTTTGCCAGCATCAGAGAAAGCAAGCTCAAATTAACACAAGATCCCTAATAACCTTGTCGATGTATTTTCTGTTATCTTGCTAAAACGAGGCACTTTTTTTTTTTTTTTTTCTGACCAGGGTATAGACACCAGTGCAGTTTTGCATGTGTGGGAATCACAAGAAAGCAAGTTCTGAATGACCAATTGAGGCTGCAGCCAGACAAAGACAGCACTGTCAACTTCAGACAACAAAGCCCAGTCCAGCACCACTGGTTTCACACAAAGTATCTTTGAAGCATGCTGCTTTCATACCATCGAGCTGGAAGGTTGAAGTCTAAGGAAGGTTTCATGCGCTCACTCCTCAGCTGGTCCCGGAACCACACATAAAGAACAGTGCACATCCTGAAAATAAAAGCCAGCTGCCACTTACCAGAGCTGCTGAAGAAAGTTAAAAAGTATGTAAATAGAACTTGGGTTAAAAGAGTTCGTAATAACTGAGCATCCAGTAGAGAGGGGGGAAAGAAAAAACTGCCCAGGTAATCCTATCCAGTGACTGGCTAACCATTATACAGACTGAACTGAAAACAGGGAGAAACACGGGCTCCTGCAATCAGAACCTCCCAAATTTCTGTCAGTGTTCTCACAGAAAAAAAAAAAAACAAAGGAATTTGCCATAAAAATCTCAGGTGGTGGCCCCAAGAACGTTAAAAAGTGAAGCAATTAATTCCCCAAGAGCTGCTATCAAGTCCCTGGGATTCATCAGAGAGATTACATCGATAATCTCACTTTGAGAAGTGTCATCCCAAAGATCTCAGCCCGGGAAGGTAACTGTTAAAACTTTATTCTCAGGGTGCAATGTCTCTTTGGACAGTGAAATAAAATCTCAGTTTAGAAGTCTTATGGAAGACTCGCATCTGAACTACTCTTCCACTTCTCCACCTCAAAACTATGAAAATCACTTGTTTGAGTGATTAATCATTTTTCTAAGTTCCTTACATTAGGAAAAATCAGCTCCTGCTTCTGTTAATAAAATCATTGCAGGTATTCCCTGGGTCTTGCTCATTGCATTAATCGTGCCTTAGGCTAACTCTTCATATTAACGATCACAGTTCACTATAAGGTGAATCTCAGTAATATTTCAGGCATTTTTGCAAGTAAACAAATTGTTTTCAAGCTTTAAATTGACAAAACAACCGGACTTCTGTTTGTAAAACAAATTCAATCAGTAAATAAAGGATGGGAAAAGCAGCAGCTGCACTTAAAGCGGGGTTATCAGAATTTGTGCTTTTCAGCAAACCTAGGAACTGATGGCTATCTAGTAAAGAAGTGGCTTCAAAGGATTCTCCTCTTTTATTTTCCTCCACTAAAGTAAGGACAGAACCCAGGTGATCCCTGGAGAAGCTGGAGACTGGAACTTTAGAAATTAAAGTAGATATTTGACCTCTCAGTTGGAAAAAAAAAGACTGTTCTGTTTCAGTTTCCCTGAAGCAGTAAGACTGCAAGAATATTCACTGTATAACCGATTTCTGCTTAGAGCTGTTAGTGCAAGATGCAAATCTTCAATTTGAACTCAATTAAAAAGCCCTCCAAGATTCTAGTCAACAGCAACATCCATCACCCCAGGGGACTACAATAGGACGCATTTCCTCGTGTTCTTCTTTGTCACAGGATACAGAACTGCACGGACAGCTTCGGCAAACACCTCCCGAACCCCCTCCTGATTCAGCGCCGAGCACTCCAAATATTTGACTGCTCCGATTTGTTTGGCCAGCGAAGTCCCCTGCTGCGGGGTGGTGGGAGCCAAGCTCTGCTCTTTCAACTTTTTAACCGTTTCCAGGTCACTTCTCAAGTCCCTCTTGGTGCCCACGAGAAGAATGGGGACGTTGGGGCAGTGGTGAGAGACTTCGGGGTGCCATTTGTGCCTCACGTTCGCGTAGGAGGAGGGGCTGCCGATGGAGAAGCAGATGATGAAGACGTTGGTTTGAGGGTAGGAGAGCGTGCGCAGGCGGTCGTACTCCTCCTGGCCCGCAGTGTCCCAGAGGTTCAGGCTGACTGTCCGGCCATCCACAGTCATCTGGGCGCTGTAGTTGTCGAACACGGTGGGGATGTACTCCTCTGGGAAGGCATTGGTGGTGTAGCTGATGAGCAGACAAGTTTTCCCCACGGCGCCGTCCCCGACCACCACGCACTTTATCGTCTGCATTCTTCACCCAGAGACAAAGTCCTGCGCACAGCGAGAAAAGGAGTTAGGAAAAGCACGCTCTCGATGATGGTGGCCATTTGAAAGATAAGCTTTAGCAAGTGTTTTTAATATAGCTAACAATTTCTTATCACAGCTTGACACACATTCAGCATCTCGAGCCATTCTAAAGAGCTCCCGGGGCTAGGAAGACAATAGTGAAATGGAGATGCCATGAGTTGAGAGCTAAGTGACAACTGGCTGCATTCCAACCGTGTAAGTACAAATTAGCCAAATTCCCACAGTCTTGCCTTACTGCCAGACTGTTTCCCACAGGCAAAAGGACGAGTCCTTAGAGGCACCTGCAAGTGGAAAGGGATCGTGACCTCAGACCCAGTAACAAGATACTCTGTCCTTTGTAGGTTCACACAGACACCTCTGTGCACACACACACTCTC